AAAAAAAATTAAATACATATTATGTCATAGTAAATATCTTTTACATAAATTGAAATCTCATAAATTATCAATTTAAAAATAAGTACAAATAATATTTTCACCTTTAAAGTAAAAGTAATAAATACATTAGTAAAAATGTTTTCTTTTACTGTTTTTTATTGCTAATAAAAACTTTCCAATTAAAATAAATTTTTTTGCTAAAAATTTGAATTTATATTTCTTCTTATTAATATAAATTAGTAACTTAAATAATGATGGCTTATTAATTTTAATTGGATCAATTATCAATTAATTGTTTGTATAGAATTAATTTTGATTTAAAATAAATTTTATACTCTGATAGTTTCATAGAATCATATTAATTGAACAACTTAACTCTAACTATAAATTAATATTTTGAGTGTAATCATAATCTATAGTCGGTATGACTGATTGAACAAATTTCAAAAATATAATTAAGTACATGTGTACTCCTAAATCTCCCCCACCGTCAGTCACCATTTGGATTAGCTTTTTCATAATATCTGCATGCCTGTAAATATTTAAAAATCATTATTTATTTGCTAAAAAACTTTATGTAATAATTGTGTTTAAATTATACTTTCAAATCAATATTAATTGTTATTTTATGCATATGTACATGTCTACAGGGAAGATACCATGATGGATTTTTCACTCCAAATTCAGTGGTCCAAAATATTAATTATCTAAATTCAATGATGTATTTATCAGAAGAAATAAAAATGTTCTAATTGATATTATCATTAATTCATGAAATCCAATTTTAATGATAGGTACACAATAGAAAAATCTCTGAGGTCACCATAGGAAAATTAAACTCTGCCCYGTGTCCACTAAAAGAACTAAAAGAGATATCATTMTATGTATATTAATGCAGTGGTATTTAGAAATGTCTGCCAACTAGAGGTGTCCATAAACAGATGTTTCACTGTATTATATTATTATGTAAATGTAATTTTCATCAAATTCATTTAAAACATTTTATCGAATGGTTAGTGTCAGACACAAGTGTATTATAATTTAAATTTTTTTAAGTT